CGGTCTCCGAATCGGGTTACGACTCAAGCTCATTTGACCCTCAAGTTTTCAAATTTTGAGCTGGCGACAGTTGCTCTTACGTTTTTGGTCGTTGCGACCCTTTAGTATGTGGCCCTGAGGCTCGTTTGGCTGGCGACAATGACTCTTACGCTTTTGCCCTTAGGCATATGTAGGCTTTGTTTTCCTCTCGTTAAGGACTTTTTGAAATAATTTTGCCTGACCCGTCGTCGGTTCGGGAAGAACCTCGATTTCAAGTCGTTTGCGGCGATGTTCGAGCACCTCGGAAGGTTTAGCTTATAGGTTGAGTAGCTCGAAGCCTTGTGATTTGGAGCTGACATGGTCGAAGCTCGTTTGCCTGTCGAGGGTAGCCTATTTAATCGATTCTTTTCGAAGTAATGACCTGTGATTTTATAGCGATGGTCGGGCGTCCCCGAGTCGCGTTAATTTGGCTGATGCAGCCGTATTGACCGTAGTCATTTGTGTTTGGCCGGAGCCATTTATGATCCCGAGCGTGGTAGTTTAGGTGTCTACATCGAGGGTATGCCCTTTCGGGAGTCTTACAAATGCGACATATAGCCTAAATTTCGGGATCGAGTTTTATGCCTGTAGTAAGGTCTTACAAAATTTTCATGACTGTTGAGGTCTTATAGTTTTTTCATGTCTATTGAGGTCTTACAGTATTTTCACGCCTGTTAAGGTCTTACAGTATTTTCATGCCTGTTGAGGTCTTATAATATTTTCATGTCTATTGAGGTCTTGATGTTTTTTCATGCCTCAGTCTTACAGTATTTTCGTGCATGTTGAGATCTTATAGTTTTCGTTGTTATGCTAAATAGATCTCGCTAGACCGAGTTTGCCCGCTTGGGGTCTTACGGCCTTGGGTTTTTACGCGAATGGCTATTGGCGATAGTCTCCGAATCATCGAGTTTGCTTAGGCTCGAAGGCCGTTACTCGTGAGCTCGGAATTGTCTCATTGAGAGCTTATGAGCATGGAGTCCCGACCCTGAGGCCATGCGGGTATCAAATTGTTGACGCTAGTCTCCGAGTATTTCGGGACGTACTCGATGGAGGGATCCTTGCTGTGAACATGCTGAATTTTCTTCGGATTATGAGATGTTTTTGGTGAAAGATATTCTTTGATTATTCGGTACAATAGTACACGTATTTGCCGACGGGAGCCCGGCTATATAGACACGGTTCATTTGAATGTTTGGCCCGGTATATTACTTTCCTACAGGGACCCCATTTGGCGTTTCATGACTTTTCTGAGCGGGTGGCTTCCCGGGGGAATGCCCCCCAACGTTCAAAGTTGACTGCAAAAGAAGTTTGGAGCATTTGTTGAGTTTCCCTTAGGTAGCACGCAGATGTTGCCTCGTTAAAAACCTTGTCGGTAAAACCCTTCTTTTTGGGATAAAAACTCGGTCGTAGGAAAAGAGTGCAATGGGTGCTTTTAAAACCCTAAGGTCTTCGAGCAATGTTAGCGTTCTGACCGCTCCGATCGAGTGCCTGCATAAGGGTTAGTCCGAAATTCGAAATAAAAAAGGGAGATGGCCATACCTTGAAGTGAGATATGCCGGCGACGCCTCGAGGATTGATACGCTTCAGTCATGAGGGCTGATTTATTACAATCGCCCAAGGTGAGGACGCGGTATGGTCCTTTATCTCATTTCGTCAAGTTTGATCGAGGGTGAGGCCCGATCGCCCTTTGGCTTATTCAAGGGTGGAGGTACGAGCGTTGGTGCCAGGTCGTGTATCGCGAACATTTCTCTTGCCGCATGTTGTTCCCCGTAGACGGTTTTAATTCCGTCCTTTGTTGGGAATTTCATCATCTGGTGAAGGGTGGACGGTACCGCTCTCATGCAATGTATCCACGGTCGTCCGAATAAGGCGTTATACCTCATGTCTCCTTTGATGACATGGAATTTGGCGTCTTGGGTCGTGCCGGTCACGGTGACCGGAAGGACGATTTCTCCTTTCGTTGTTTCACTTGCCATGTTGAATCCATTGAGGACTCGATTGGCGGGCACGATTGGTTGAGCAATTCGAGTTGCTCTATCACCCTCGACTTGACAATATTGGCCGAGCTACCTGGATCCACGAGTACACGTTTTATTTGAAAAGAATTTACAAGGAAGGAGATTACCAGCACATCATTGTGAGGTTGAGACAAGGTCTCGGTGTCTTCTTCGCTGAATGTGAGGGCGCCCTCGGGAATATATCCTCGGGTCCGCTTTTCTCTGGTGATGGTTATTTTCGTTCTTCTCATTACGGGTTCCTGCGGGGCATCGGCGCCCCCCATGATCATGTGGATGACATGTTGTGGCTCGTTTGCCTCGTTCTTCTTGGTCGCCTCCCTTTCCCGGAACCGATTTTTGGCTCGATCGCTAAGGAATTCCCGGAGATGCCCTTTGTTAAGTAGCCGATCTACCTCTTCTCGTAGCTGATGACAATCCTCGGTCCTGTGGTCGTGCGTGTTGTGAAATTTGCATACTAAGTTGTAATTCCTTTGCGAAGGATCCGACTATATAGGCTTGGGCCACTTGGCGTCTTTGATTTTACTGATGGCGAACACGATGTCCGACACATCGACGTTGAAGTTGTATTCTAACAAGTGGGGCGCACCCGTTGGCACTACGTTCCGATCGAATCTGGCTCTGTTGGTGAGCCCTCGAGGATCCTGTCCTCGATCTATTCTCCGATCATTGCGAGGTAGGTTGCGCCTCGGGGCGTTCCTCCTATCTTCGATGTACGGCTGATACCTTTTTTTGTTTGGTTTTGGTTCCTTTGCCAGGAGCCTGTTCGGGTATACTGAGCCCGAAGGGGCTCTCAACTGGTCATCCTCGACCCTGATCTTCGACTGGTACCGGTTGTGGACGTCTGACCAGGTCACAGCCGGGTACTTGATCAAATTCTGTTTGAGCTGTTTTGAAGCCACCGAATTTCATTCGTTCAGACCTTGAGTGAAGGCCTGCACTGCCCAGTCGTCGAAGACTGGCGGTAGCTCCATCCGTTCCATCTGAAAGCGAGACATGAATTCCCGCAGCATCGCGTTCTCCCTTTGCTTGATTTTGAAAACGTCGGACTTCCTCGTCGCTACCTTGATGGCACCGACATGTGCCTTTACGAAGGAGTCTGCTAGCATGGCGAATGAATCTATGGAGTTAGGAGCCAAGTTGTGATACCACATCATGGCCCCCTTCGAGAGTGTTTCCCCGAATTTTTTTAACAATACGGACTCGATCTCGTCATTCTTTATATCGTTTCCCTTTACCGCGCCGGTGTAGGCAGTAACTTGTTCATTAGGGTCTGTGGTCCCGTTGTACTTAAGGAGTTCCGACATTCTGAACTTCTTTGGAATGGGTTTCGGGGCCGCTTCTTCGGGGAACGGCCTTTGTATGAACTTCTTCGAATCCACACCCTTGAGGACCGGGGGTGCACCTGGGATCTGGTCGACTCTGGAGTTGTAGGTCTCGACCTTCTTGTCGTTGGCTGCTATCATTTTCTCGCCCTATTCGATCCTTTTGGTGAGATCCTCAAGCATTTTTACGATGGCAGGGTCGGCTATCGATCCGTTATTGCTTGATCTCCATGGTACCTGTTCAGCTGGGGGAGCTGTTTCCGCTGTTGCTGTGCTCGGAGCCTTGGGGTGGCTTTGCAACTGAGCGATAGCCAACTGTTGTGCCTGCAACATTTCGAAAATAACATGAAGACTAACTTCGTGTTCTTCCCGAGCTGGGGCTTTTGGGCTTCCTGTTGGTCGCCATGTCGTATGCTCCTGTCGGTGTGTGAGGTTTCGTCGACCTGCTGCGCGTCTTGCGAATCCGCGTCCGCTGGAATCGGTCCAGGTGTGTTATCGGGGTTCTGCGGTGGCGCGCCAACGACTGGAACAGCCACACCATTTTCTCCGTGGTTTTCAAGGTTGTCGTTCTCAACTCTGTTTACCGAACCAGACATTTTGACCTGAAATCGAAGATCTTGGACAAGAAAAAGTGTGAAAGATAACTTGCGTTGTGTAACGAAACCAGCAAGAAAATAATCACTATTATTTTTAGTCCTACGGTAGGCGCCAAACTGTTGTAATAACAATTAAATTTGTTAATGGGACTCTAAAAATACGTGATCTATTTTTATGCTAGTATTTAAGGCAGTTGATGCTAGATACGTGAAGCTTAACGATGAAATACGAACTAAAACGGGGTTGTAATCAAACCGAGGAGCTAGACGTCCGGGCCTCGGACTGACCGATGAGGGGCCTCGAGGTCAATGCCTGGGCTCGAGCTCGAGCTATCGGGGGTAACCGGGAAGGGACTAACAGTTAGGATATAATTAAAAGGAGGCTCTTTATGGCCAATATCAAGCAATAAATAAAGAACAAGTATGAAAGCAATAAATGAAGAAGGTAGCCTCGAGCGATAAGTTAGAGAGAAAAGAGAGAGATGTTTATTGATCTGATGTAGAATAGTTGGAGCGACCTGCTTACAGAGTGCCAATGATTCCCCTTTTATAAGAGGGGGGAATCCAAACTTAGTACAAGGTACGTTAAATGATAAAGGAAGCGGGATGGGACAGCTAACTAGCTTCATGATGTAGACGTAGACCAGCGTTAGACTGCCCTGGTAGACTTAACCGGCTCCGGATGCATTCTTCGGAAGCCTCCCATGCTCGTCGGGGTCTCGGCCAACATTATCCCCAGGCCGGGTGTCGACAGATCTTGAGGGAAGTACCCGGCTCGAGGTCTCGAGCCTCCGAGGCGATCTCCTAAAGTACTTTATCAACGAGAAATTGGTCCCCCCGATTTCGCCGTACACATGTATTTGTCGTCTCAATAAGCGTTGAGGTTGTATTTTGCTAAACACGCTTTAGAACTGACAAATTGTGGTTTTCTCATGCTTTTAGTTGTTGCGAGTAGCATTTAACTTTCCTGCATGACATGGTTGAACAGTTAAAGTATATTTAACCCAAAGTCGATCCAGTCTTTCTGATGCTTATCATTTAAACAGGTAACTGGAGATCCAGGGAAGATGGTGGCTGTTCAGAGGAACTTAAGTAAATTTGGAATTAGAGAAATTGCTCGCACTGGGAAGGTATCTTGAAAGGAAATCATATAATTTTTGAGTTGCATATTCTTTTCTAGATTTGCTTCTTAAAGTTGTGTCTCAAGTAATCACCGTCACATGATTGATTTGAACATAGATTGCCTTGAGAAGGGAAAAAATGGGGGAATCTGCTCCTTTTTGGCGGTTTTCAGCAGCATCATACCCAGATCTTGAAGGTGCAATGTCTGCTGGTACTATTTCGAGGACAATCAAGAGGACCCCTAATGGAGAATCTATGTCTATGGCTGAGGTATGCAAGTTACATGGATTGTGCCTGTTTCTTTGTAGCAACATATAATTTGTTTCTTTCCTGAACTTACAAGTTACCTCATACACAGGCAATTGCTAGTTGGTAATTGTCATTTGTCAGCAACTCATAATTTACTCAGAGATGAAAAATTATATGATTCATTTTCTTTCAATCATTAGAATTCAGTTTATTTTTTGATAAGCTTACAAAAGAAATAGTCAAGATTGCAAGATGTGAATCTTAATATGCTCAATAACTTTTAAAGGAATTTAATGTATCCGTTTGATTTATGTGTACTTTTGTGAATTGTTGGAGCTTAGTAACTTCCTTTTCTATAAGTAACTTTTTAGTGCATCATGGTCCCTTATACAGGAAGCATACTCACAAAATGCATCTTTGTAACTAGTTGTATGGTTTAAAACAGCTAGAGCATAATATTATTAGTCATTCNAATTGTAAACTGTAACTCAAAGGTGCCTTTGTTCCGTTCTAGATGAATATTTTTTTCATATTTATGAAGGTTTTGACGTTACATCCTTTTTTATTCAGTATTTCCAGGGAATCTGTCATCTGAGTAGATCGAATTAGACCATCTTGCCTGACATTAGATGCAAATAAATCACATGATTGTTTCTCTATAGCCTGTAAAAGATATGAACTTAATTGTGCAATTTATGAGGGCTGGTCTGAAATCTAAATTTTGCCTGCTTTGTTGAATTTCTTGGAAAACCAAAGAACATCCTTTTGTTATATTGCATTTTCCTTGTATTGTATATGGCTGGCTTATTGCTTTTGCTCTCTATAATAAAAGAACCAAAGGAAGGAATGATTTGATCTCTTCATCTTTGCCACCACTGAGACTAGGATGGCCTGAAATGCATCTGGGGAAGTTTTAATATTACCCCAACGGGGCTAAGATAAAATAAGTTGATCAGATTTTAAGCACCGTATATGAAATGTCATCTGTACAACTTGTATTTGACTGTTTAAAAAAAAACTACAGCTTTGCCTCCTTAATTTCTCACTGATTGCATTTTCTATTGATGTAGATTTTGTCGCAGTTTTCTTTTTCTTGATATTTGCTTGAATAATTTCCATGGGGAAATGGCCCATAATATGCTGCAAATTCTAAGGATGTTCCAGATTGAGAACAGCTTTTGCTAGCCTTTTCATTCTTGAATTTTATGTCTTGACGATTAGTCCATTAAATTGAAAACTGCTTACAAGTGATGCTTATGTTAGCCCTTGGCTTAATTCTTCCAGACAAGTGGGCTTCGCTCACATACTTTGTCAATGCTTGTGAATGACACTCCTGGAGTTCTCAACATAGTCACCGGAGTTTTTGCTCGACGAGGGTATAACATCCAAGTATGTTCAAATATTTGCGCTTCTTTTAACAGAACCCAAGTTTCCTCGTCCTTTTGTCTTTCATTTGTAGGGTTTTTTTTTGTACTTAAATGTATTGAATTATCCTCTCCAGAGTTTAGCTGTTGGACATGCTGAAGTTGAGGGGCTTTCTCGTATTACAACAGTTGTTCCTGGCACAGATGAGTCAGTTAGCAAGTTGGTGCAGCAACTATATAAGTTGGTTGATATTCATGAGGTAAGTAGTCATCTATCATGAGCGCTTGCTCAACAACATCCAATCCGATGGAAGATTTTGTACTGTTTCAATTTAAAAATGGCTGTCCACTATAGAATTTCCTGAGAGGCAGGGAAGTGCGGTGGTGTAAGAATGGTGATTTTTTATTGGTCATTTTTTTTCCACAAAATTGTGACAGAATATGTTTAATATTGGAAAACAGTTTTCCAAATTGAGTATGAATTTTATAGATTAATATGTTCACCTGGTTAAGCACTGCAGTGTTTTCTTTTTCTTTTTCTTCTTTTTGGTGTGGCTTCCAGAAATTGTTCCTCAAGTATTGAACTGCTCATGGATTTATTTAACAGTTGATGTATATGTAATCATTCATATTATAAGCTTAATGTGTATGCTTTAGATTTGATATGCATGTTATTCCTTTCAGTATTCTGAGTGATTTTATGCGTTGTGATGTTTAATGACTATTATCTTCAGAATATATCAATTGAATGACCTTTACCCCTTCTACTTCTTTTTATGTGATTGGGGCTAAACAAAAAGGTGGATGTGGAAATACAGTGGCATGCACCTTATCATGTCATATCCCTTAATTTTGAAATTATTCATGTCTAACAAGGGACCAATTTGTCTAATTTTTAAAACAAATATGGTTTGAAGTAGTTTCTCCGATAACAGAAAACTATTTTTTGGTTCTTATCTGGACCTACTTCCTCTAGTCAAAATGCAATAGCTGATTCTTATAATTTTTTTAGAAGAGCAAGCGCATTTTTTTCTAGACTTTTTAAAAATTCTTAATCCTATGTATCTTTTTTTAAAAAAAAAAAAGAAATCAATTCCAGAACCAGATCCAAACATTTGTTGTCCAAACTAAAACGAAACAAATAAAGATAATTGTTTTCCAAGCCAAGAGCCAAATAATCCGTATTACTGTCTTAACCCAATACTGGTGTCCAGCTCCATGCAATAACTTGTTAGGATATCCTATCGATCTAAGATTGCGATGTTAATTTGCATGCAAACGAGCAGAAAGTGATAAACGGTTTTGATTTATTGCATCCTTTCAGGTTCGGGATATTACTCACCACCCATTTGCGGAAAGAGAACTAATGTTGATAAAGATTGCTGTGAATGCTGCAGCGCGTCGCAATGTTCTTGACATTGCCAGCATTTTCAGAGCAAAAGCTGTTGATGTGTCTGACCACACTATAACTCTTGAGGTAAAGATTTGTTTACACTAGTATTTTTAGTTTGTCCTCTCTGGACTTGATTGTCTTTGGTAATGGGTGTATGGTATGCCTAGTGGTTAATGCAAGAAACATTGTATTTTTTAAATTTCTGATCTTTCATTTTGGTCTCTCAAATGTGCCTGCTTCATCCTCCAACTCCCACCTTGTTAGTTTACAGGACATGTATACATCATTCAGGGCTGATGCTTGATCACTTATATAAGGTTTTGCACTTCAATAAAGTTGACATGAACCAACTATTGCTTTTACGAACATGCAATCTTTCACCATTTCCAATTTGATCCCTCTAGCTACCGTGGGTATTGTGGATCAAATATAAGATGATGGATCAGTTTCTTGGTTCTTTATGTTGTACAGAGTAGCACTCTTAAGCTTTGTCCTGAAGAAGAAAAAAGCCTGGATGAGAGCTCTTTATGCACTTCAATTGCAGTTTATGAACCAACCAGGCGGACCTTTAATTTTATCTAATGTTGGATGAAGCTTCTCTTGGCCATTATAATGAACTATTACTTTCTTTGCTTTTTCCAGCTTACAGGAGATTTGCATAAGATGGTTGCTTTGCAGCGGCTACTAGAGCCTTATGGTATTTGTGAGGTCAGTTACTGCAATAATATTGTTTCAATATCAAAATTATTATCCATAATATGCAGTGCAGCTTGCACAAAATGAGCTGGTAAGTACAGGGATTGTGATGTAAAGGGAATTGTGATACAAAGGGATAAGGGTCACTGCAATAACTGGTTTTTACTAGAGTGTATCACTCATTTGTTTGGTTCATGAGATTTAAGGGAACTGGGATCAACGTAAGGATTCCAGCTTATGATTCAGTTCATGAAGTGAAGGCAATAAGAATTGAACCTTTGTGAAGAGGCGCCATTGACCTAAATGTATTATATAATCTGTAAATTTTTCTTCACGAGATTTTTAACATCACCTATTAAGAATGAAATTTTGGCATTAAATTGAGCAAAAATAAGGTCGTTAGACATTGAGTAAACACCTGAAAGGGACAAAAGGAGGAGATTTGAAGTGGGAAACATGAGAAGGGGAGAAAGGGATGTGAGAGATAATTTGGCCACCATATGGCTATATAGAGGATAAAACTATTCGCTTGCAAACCGGAAATAAAATAAATGGAGTTTAATGCTATACTGATAAGTAACTTTCAGATCCACAACCCATAGGGAAACAGATGATGTTGTGTTTCCTTATTTAGCCCACCAAATGACTAATAATGACCAAGTTCATACAGTGGCTAAAAAGGTGCATATCGTACTACCAAAGTTTCTGTATATTTCCCAAAAGCTCTATGTTCATCGGCCCCACATGAAACCTCTAATTTTCATTTGCAATTTCCTTGTTGTGTTTTTGGAGGCTAAGCTTTCTGTCCTGATATACATCCAACAGGTAGCGCGAACAGGACGTCTGGCGCTGGTACGTGAATCAGGTGTGGATTCGAAGTACTTGCGAGGATATTCATACCCTTTGTAAGTCTAAAGTCCCCGAACCTAAGGAAAATGCCTGCTCTTTGCGGAATGTGTGTGAACATGGATGGCTGAATCAAGTTGCTTGATACGGAGATGGTCTCGTGCCCCAGCTGTGACGCTGCGGCTTTCAAGTCAAGTTTGCATGCTTTTAGCTTTAGGTAGTTGCAAGTTTATTAAAATGAATAGGGTACATTTAGACCATTCTATGAACAAGGACGGACCTAGACCATTCAGCTCTTTTCTTTTCACCTTTAGTCTTTAGCAGAGATGGTTCTTCAATAAGCTTCACTGAAAATGATTGACATCGTCATCTGAATTACAAGCAAAATATGACTAGCATTTTTGGTTTTTAAATCTGAAAGTGATATAAAACATCTAGATTGTATGTCTACGTGCAGTTGTTCTTTTTCCTTTTATTTATGGAAAAAGGCATAGATCCTCCCAGGCTGTAGTCATATTTTGAAGTTTGAACTACGCACCAATTTTTCACAGGTGTCCTATTACCTCCTTGGACTTTTTGGAAGTAGAATATATGCCCCCTTGAAAAGTCATACCAAAATCTATGTTTGGTGGTGATTTGCACACGAAATGTTACATTTTTGCTCTTTTTTCTTTTTTCTTTTTCATTCCCTTTGCAGCATATGCTTATGTTGTCATCCAAATAACAGAAGCCAGATTAGCTTCTTCTTTCCTAATCACTATCTTCTTTCTTTTTCTAATTCTATTTTCTTTCTTTTTCATTCCTTTAATGGAATTTCTTTCCACCAGTAATGGAGTTTTTTTTAGACATATTTGGGTTTGGGTTCAGACTTCTGTTTGTTTAAGTCTGATTAAGTGGTGAAACATTGGTGGAGCAGGCGCTAGCAATGGTGTTGAAAGAGGAGAGAGAAAAGGATAAGGAAAAGAAAGAAAAGTTGAAATAAAAAGGCAAAAAAATTGTAGTAATATTTATTAAAAGAAAAGGCTAAAGATAAATTATTAACAATTTTTGTTGCTGCTCAAGTGAAATAGAGAGAAATTCAAAAATAGTCAGATTTACAAGTGGTGATTTAGCCACAGTTTTAAAAGTAATCAAAATTTAGCTGTTTTTTATGTAAAGATAAATTTGAATGAAAACACTGTTCAAAATCCAAAAAATACTCCGGTATAATATACTGGAATTCCAATATAATATACTGAAGTTCTAGCATAAGTAGACTAGAACTCCAGTATATTTATACTGGAGTCCTAGTATACTATACCGGTCCAACATAATATACTGGAACTTTCCGCGAGTTGGAGTTCTAGCATAATATGCTGGAAGTCCATATATAGGTACACCGATTTTCAGTATATTATGCTGGAACTTTCCGTGTTGCAACAAAATAGTGGTTATTTTTCAATGACTTTGCAAATGCTGGCTATTTTTTAATGACCAATCCGAAAACTGGCTAGCCCGTGCTATTTTTTCAATAATTTAGCTTTTAAATAATCCAAAGGTATGAGTATGTAATTGGAAATACCACTATAATTAATCTAGGAGGCGATTTTATTAGGTGAAATTTCACCATTCGACATAAAAGGTTGAGTCTGTTATATTGTCACAAGACTCTCAAACCTTTGAGTGGGCCAGAGAAGGATCCCATATGGCTGCACGAGCCAACGGTCATGGTTGTTATTCATGCCCTATTTTGATTGGCCAATACTATATGGTATGAGCCGATGGAACAGATCCTATATGGTTTAATGACGTTCCACCTGGTAGTATCAAGAGTAAAAGGGTAATTAGATGCGCGAAACTCAAAATCTCGGGAAGAGCCAAATCTTATTGGGTTTATTTACGCAGTCTTATTTTACATTTATTGTTGAAAGCCTCGTCGAACCCCAATTTCTACAAATGAGTCTAAGTTCCATTGTTTCTTGACATATAAGAAACTGAATTTGTAGGCAGCAGTCTCTAAAAAACTGGACAACTAATTAATTTTCATATGGGAATAAATTTATACATAACTTGCAGTTTTTTCGTCAGACTTCCAAATTCTATAAAACAGCTGGAACTCCAAATATGACAGGCACAAAATTGAGACTGTTATAACGTGATTTGTTACTTGAAAACCATGTATGCAATAAAATATTGACAGATCATTTTGCTCAGGATTACGGTCTTCTTACTCTTTTCCTTCCCTATTCTCTGCTTATAAGTAATGCTGCACAAAATAAAAACAGCAGGCTACTGTAGCTTACAAAGCTTTTGTTTGGTTCCAGCACTTCCAACAACATAGCTGAAACAAAAACTCTCTCCTTTCTTTGGAGAAGAAACCAACATATATAAGCAGTCAATCCTATAAAAGAAGAGGAGAAACAGATTCAATTCCATGGTGGATTCACTTACCTAAGACTCTAGGAAATTGGAAATTCTATACTTTTTACTTTTAGTAAGAGTGTCGGCAGCTGCAATAATACTGTATTCTTCCCATCCAGTAATTACATGGCTAGGAGTGAAGGATTCGATGTAACTGCGCTCCCATGCGATTTCTCATGTACAAGTATATATTCTTCACCTTTTGGAACGTTCAGTTTAGTGGTGATAGTCTGATGATAGGCTTTTTAGTCGCTTATTACTCTATAATTTACTGCACTTTAATTGAGTTTGAGTTTTAATCGCTAGTGTTTTGCACTAATGTTGTATTTTATGCCTTGTAGGAGTGATTCCGAGCTATATAGATGTTATGGAATGAATTCTAGTGATTTGGAGCTTTGAAGTCTGAGCAAAAGCCCAAGGAATTAAGCCGGGATCGTGTTCGGGGGTCAAATTTGATAGTTAAGAACAAATGAAGACTCGATTAGGCATATTGCGCACTGTCTAGTAAAATAGACATAACTATTTGCTCCGAACTCCATTTGGGCTATATAATATATGGTTGGAAAGCTAACTCAAAGGGATACAACTTTCAAGTTTTACGTTTTTCTAAATTCCAAACGGAACAGGGTGAAAAACGTGGTCGGGCCTGAACGCGGACTGAGGCAGTGCACTGGGAAAATACCGCGACCGCGAGCCTCCAGACCTGAAATATTATTTTTCTTCCCGTAGGAGAAGGTATAATTGTTTGGGCCCGACCCTACTTGGTATATATACATGGAAAAACGGTATTTTGAGGGGGTTGAACATACTTTTGACACAAATTCGACCTAAAGAGGCAGAGACACAATAGGAGCAAGGCGGGAAATTCTTCTACGAGTTTTTCCTTCCTCTTCCAATTTTTTTCATTGTTGGTTATGACTTTTAGTATTGTAGTTTTACATATTATTATGAATAGCTAATTTGTTATCTAGAGTTTTGATGGAACCTTTTGTAGGATAAAATCTTGTTATGTTTTTATATAATTGAGCCGTTGGATTTCTCTACTTGTTCAACTACGTGTTTATTATTATTGATTGAATGGCCATCGATTGACTGTGCCTATTTATTATGTGTTGCTTGAGAAAGGATACATATTTAGGTGGTTGTTGAACAACGCCACTTCTAATGTATGTGAGAAATCAATACAACGGGTTTAAAGGTAGGTTTAGAAATAACAAAGCCTTGACGTGGTCATAATGAGCGGTTAGATGAAGCCAACTAGCGTAGTTTGAGAGAATATGTCTAGTAAATTGTTGTAGTTGTTCGAGAGAGAATTACGGCACATAAAGTGCTCGCGATCAGTAGAGAATACATAGGCGAAATTGTAGGGAACATAAGTGGAAGGATTCCGACAATTGGGGAAATCACAACTCTAGACCTCCTTAATTTAGTCTCCAACCTTTAGTCTCGTTAGTTGATAATTTTACCGCTTTTTAGTATTTGCTAGTTAATTAGTTAGAAATATAAATCTCAATCTTTAAACTTTAGAAAATTGTTCAAACTTGTCTTTTTAGTGATATTAAATAGATATAGCTAAACCTTAGTTCTCTGTGAAATTTGACTCCGAAATTTAAACCGGATTATATTTGCAGCGATTGTTTATCCTTTTTAGGACTAGAGTTGGGCGTGATCGTAATCCTAACGTCCATGTCTGATTCTTTAGGAAATTAGCCAGTGACGATGTACTTCCTTAATATCACTTGCTTCTTCCTCTCCTCCTGCCATTTTCACCTTTTCTCTCTATTCGTCTGTCTCTGTGAATAATATCGAAAAACAAAACGTTTTTTATAGCAAGTAGGCCATTGCTAAATAACATTGAAGAGTATATACGAAAAACTTTGTCCCGTTTGATAAGATGCTACGGCACACTACCTTTCTCTTTTTTTAAAATTTTGTTTTCAAATACCTATTTGTTTATATATTTTAACCAATTTTGATAACCTATTTGTTCAAATACCTATTTGTTTGATAACCTATTCGTTTAAAATGCATGTCCAAACACAATTTCAAATTTCAAAATTATTTTTCATCTCATCTTCAGAAACTCATTTTTTCAAATTTCAATCAGATATATAAACGCAAGCTAGATCATTTGTTTCACTTTCGTGTCGAATACATCAAAAGCTAAATTTGTTATAGTAATAAAATTATACTCCCTCTGATTCATATTATTTGATGTTTTTTTCTTTTTTGTACATCTCTTAAAAACTACATCTTAGAAATTAAGATGGATTTTGAGTACATTACCTTAATTAAATTTGTATCTTTCTAAGTTGATAAGTATAAAGAGTATAGTGATTTGTATTTTTCATGTTCGAAGCATGAACAGTCCAGGGTAATTTAGAAACAGAAAATTGATGTTTTATTTTTTATTATGTGAAACACAACTTATTAAAAGGAAAAAACACTAAATTAAATAATTTGGGCCGGGGGAAGAAACTGAGTTGAAGAAGAAGCCAAAAGAAATGGCTTCTTACTAGTACCACATTCACATTCTTGTTAAAGTACAGCAACGATAACATATCAAGTGTAGTTTCAATAAATTGGGTCCGGGGAGGGTAGTGCGTACGCAGACCTTATCCCCACTTTAAAAAGCTAGAGAGATTATTTATAATAGACCCCCAACTCAAGAAACGCATAATCACTGCAAATAGGATAAGAAAAAATAACAAATGAGAATCCACGTAAAGAGAAACAATAAACACAATCAGAAAAAAGATAACTGAAGCAAAAGAAATATCATATAGTATTAGAAATTTAAGAAATGAAAATCTGAGAATACACTAGTACTACAAGTATAGAAAAACAATACAGGTACGAAAAAGAATTATGCTGGATGATTGTCTAATCTACTACCCTAATCTTCAATCTCCACGTCCTCCTATCAAGTGTCGTGTCCTCACCAAGCTTAAGATGTGTCATGTCCTGTCTAATCAGCTCTCCTTAATACACTAGTACTACAGGTATAGAAAAGCAATTCAGGTACGAAAAAGAATTATGCTTGATGATTGTCTAATCTACTACCCTAATTTTCAATCTCCACACCCTTCTATCAAGGGTCATGTCCCCAACAAGCTGGAGATATGTCAAGTCCTACCTAATAACCTCTCCCCAATACTACTTCGGCTTGCGTCTACCTCTCCTTGGCCCGACCGTAGCTAGCCTCTCACACCTCTTTACTGGAGCATCTATGTCTCTCTTCCTCACATACCCGAACCATCTCAATCGTGCTTCTCACATTTTGTCTACCACAGAGGTCACTCTCACCTTATCTCGAATATCTTCATTCTTAATCATATCTCTCCTAGTATGCCAATATATCCATCTTATCATTCTAATTTCCGCTACTTCCATCTTCTGTACATGAGAGATCTTAATTGGCCAAGACTTCACACACCCATACAACATAATTGGTCTAACAACCACTTTGTAGAACTTACTTTAAGTCTCAGTGGCACTTTATTATCAAGACGCCGGATGCACTTTCTTGTGTAAAACTTAAAAGAGAGAAAAAGACAAACTCTATTTTAAACTTTAGTATTCATCTGTATCCCTTCAAAGTTTTAGCATACCCGAAATAGCAGATCTAATGGTAGGAACAGGCAGGGGCACAAATTTCGTTAAGGGAGTCCAAAAAATGGCTCTTTTCTATTAATAGGATAGAACAATTTATATAAGAATTCATTTATATATACATGTATAATTTTTTAGTGAAGAGGATTCAGATTGCTATATCATTAGCTCGAGGTGCAGTAATCCCAAACGGATGTGCTCAGCCCAGTAATTAGGAAATTACTTAGCTCTTGAATTGAAGTGATGAGGTCCGGAAAGAGAAAAGTAAGTGCTCCTATTGACTAAAAGAACCCTTCCAAAATCGGGGCAAAAGCTTAAGAATGGAGAACTACAGCTCAGATTCAACACAAGGAACAAATAGAACGGAAAATGATGTTGACTAGTTAGCAAAACTCATATTTATCTGCCCAAACTTCGGGTAGATGTTTGCCATACCGTACCCAAATTCAATTTGAATCAAGCAGCAAAGTTCAGAGAGATTGACTCTGTGTTCCTATGAGTTAAACATGAGTTGCTACTCAGAAAAGCTAAATAAGAAAACCATTTTACGGGCCAACCAAGAAAAAAACAAACGCCCATCGCTGTTTATACTTGACCATGATGCAATCCTATTGTAACCTCACCCCTTGGTAACGCCCAGATGAACCAACTCTGACTAGTATCTTACGCTGATTGAGTTGAAGTTTGCAATGGAAATGAAGGAAGTTCACTTCTGAAAACAAGTTGTCAACTTTTGCATAATAACAGTTTCCACATTTAAATTGCCAGGGAAAGCTCAGCGCACTTAAAGATGGTTTGGCTGAAGCATAACCTGTTTCCATTCTTGAAAATAAAACCAGCGTCAACTGTTTTTCTTTTTTGTTCCTCTATCATTTCTAAAGTAAGAAGAACAATAAAACTAAATAGTAACATAGATATATCAAATGAAATTGCAGAAACTGTCGCATCGATACTCTCAAGCCTAAGGATCAAAGTGCACCCCTTCGTCATACTTCATGTTATACAAGCCAATATGAAACATTTTAACTAAAGCACGCATTCTCATTGACTAAACGAGAGCATGTTATCCAAACAGCAATCAGAATGGTCACCCTTCGTCATCCAGTATCATTCCGACATTGACATAAACAACATCAATGAGATGAAGGATGAAAACCCTATATAACACAACAAAAGGAAGTTAAAAAACGAATAGACAAGTGCAACCGAAAAGACACATAAATGCCATACTTGCTGAAGCTAATGGCAGGGTTGCAGGACTGATTGCTTTATTTCTTTTAGATATAGAGTCTTATAATGATATACTAGTGTAAATTTGCAACAGCAGCAACAGATTTTGGAGCCTTTATTTTAAGCTACATAACGTTGGTGTAACAGACAGGCTAACCGTAAACAACTAAAATCATGTCATACTTCATAGACATAAATTGGCTGCTATAATAAAGCTCATTTCATAAACAAACTGCAATCCAGGTTGTTGATTCAGGTTTCTTTCATTTGCTTTATATCTAAAAGCTATATGCAGTAAGTTAGCATAAGAGATCAATCCATCAAGAAGATTTCAGTCTTTCCTTTTCCTCTTCTTTTTATTTGAATCTTTTTTGTTTCCTTTACTTTTCTTTTTCACAATGTTTCTTGTATTTATCAGCATTAGACATGAAGGAGAAGGGTTGGTCATTTCAGATCTTAAAGGTCTACAGACTAACAAGGAACTTTGTAGGCCTCTCATGGGAATCAGACAAGGAAAGGGCAAGAGACCGATATTTTGTAAATTAACCGGGATAGCAGGAGGATAGTGAACCATGTTTATAAGGAATATCGTCATAAAAGAAGGAAAGAAATGAACAAAGAGAATGAACTTCAAACATAGGAATGCACTATTAACTATGGCGGCAAAGAAACCATCAAAGGGTGTGGTGGAATGGTAAAGGTACCTTGATCCTTAGTCGGAGTTCTCGAGTTCTAGCCCTGGGAATAGAGTCCTCTCTTGGTAGGGAGCGCTAAAACCTCATAGTGGGTTTTCTATGGCACAAATCCAAATTAGTTGACCTTGCGGGTTACAGACACAGATGATTAAACCCCAAAAAAAAAAAGAACACACAAAAAAACTATGACGGCAAAGAAGCTAATGGAAAATTAAATTCAGGAAAAGAAATTGGTTTAAGATAGGTTGGTCTATCATAGATTTATGTAGAACAGGAGGCACAACAAGAGCTCATTACAATTTCTCTCACGCATAACAGCTCACAGAACAAACAGGAGTAATGCAAAGGCTTCTTTTTTGGATAAGTCAAAAGTTTTCATTAGATATCATTGTAACTACAACCAGGGGCAAATAGTAATCCCTGGAATAAAATAAGACACTTGCCACTTGGAACTCCAAAAGGAAAAATAACATTAGATTGAGAACACAACCAATTAAAAGAAGAGAAAAACAAGAGGAAGAGGTTGACTCATGGGTCTTAGGCATTCACCACAACGTTGATTTCGTTCTATTTGTTTTAGTGAAGATATAACAAACACCGTATTTAGTAAAATATTGAAGAGGATAGAACAAATCAAAAACTAGTTATATTTCAGGAAAAAAAGAAAGAAGAGACAAAACATTTGTGTGCCGAACTTTCAGCTAAGGCACCAAGAAATCAAACAGAGGCCTCCCCCAAAAAGTTAAATAAATAATTGCCCATCATTGGATAATCGGTTTTCTGAATTGACCGAAACTATATCTTAGACATTCAAAAGGATGAAAACCAGAACCAATTTTCCCATCAGAATATATATGTCATCAGACCTCAAACCACGTTCCCTAATTGTTATAGGCAAATGAAACTTGTAGAAGACATTTAACAATCGAAAGAAGAAACATGTAATAGACAAATTCATGCATAAAAAATATGATCACTGATTCCAGAATGCAAAAACTTAGAAAGGGGAAAATACCAAATGGCATCTCTCATATTATTCTGCTAAAAACAAAATTCTCATCATCATCTTTCAGATAATTTGTTTCAGAAATTCTCACCTAAAACTTCTCGGAATCAGGTAGCAATGGCTGTCTTTTTCTTTGCTTTCTTGCTGTCAAGAGTTGTATCCTTTCCGATGATCATTCTTCTTAGAATATCTGCTTGCTTTGTGTTTCCCTCTTGATTGAGGCTCTTAATCAACTCCTCACAACTCTTGTGATCTTTAACTCCTCCTTTTTCCATCATCTTGCACAACATAGAATAAGCATTAAGTGTCTTCCCAGCAGCTACAAGAGAATCCAGCACCTTATCATAGCTTGAAAAGTCTATGGTACAATCTCTCTCTAAACCAAAATCTAACAGCTTTAGAGCAGCAGCTGTTTTTCCTTTGTCACATAGAGCGGACAAGAGACCGTCAATATCAGGTGAGAGACCGCTGTGTAACAACAATTCAATTCTTCCAAGGGCCTCCTCAACATGGCCCCTCATTAGGAGGGCTTCCAAGATAGTAGAAATTAAATCCATGTGTTCTTTGACTCCCTTCTCCAACATAATCTTCATCACTCGACTTGCTGTTTGAACCCTTCCATCTCCCATCAGGCTCTCCATCACTGATCTATACAACAATGAGTCGGGTTCATGTCCCTGTTCAAGCATATTGTCCAAAGCAGCTTTAGCATCAGCAGGCTCCCCTTTCTTCAGATAGCTCTCAACAAGTGACTTGTGAGCAATACCATCAGAAAGAACCTTTCTCCTGCCCATAATCTTCAAAATTTCAAAGGCCGAATCAGGAGCCCCTTCTCTTGAGTGCCCACAGACGAGATTGTTAAAGGCAACAGGATCTTGAATCCCAATTTTCATCAACTGTCTAAATAGAGTTTCAGCCTTACTTGTCTGGCCATTATTGCATAGGTAATCAATAATCAGATTATATGCACTTTGTTCCATAGGCAAACTACTACTCAAGATGATTTCTTTCTCAATAAGCTTATCCAGCAATTTGACAGCTCGATCGCAGACACCAGCCTTGCAGAAATTCTCAATTAAGACACCATAATGCCCAGCCTCGGTGGGAACACTCAACCTGATCATAGCTTTCAGAACATCAGCTGCAGCATCCAAATCACCTGCCTCACACTGTCCAGAGATTAATCTTATGAATACAGAGTTATCCTTTGGTGCAATATACTTCTCTTCCATCTCCTTCAAAATCATCCTAGCTTCAGACATTTTCTGTCCCTCACATAGACTAGGCAACAGTGTTGAGTACGTAATGGCATTCGGTTTAATACCAAAACTCTTCATCTCTTCAAACAATCTCAATGCATCATCTACTCGCACAACCAAACTATATCCTTTTATCAGGGTGGTATAACTGATCACATTCGGTTCTATATTCCTCGCCTTCATTTCCACAAAGTACTTCTCGGCCTCTTCAATTTTCTTAGCCCGGTTATAGCCATTAATCATAGTATTATAAGTCACTACATCAGGACTAATCTCCCTACTCTTCATAGCCTCAAAGAACCTAATCGCAGTATCCGGCTTAGACGATAAAAAGAAACCCCAAATCAACAGATTATAAGTGTGCGTAGTCGGCTCAATACCCTCATTAACCATCTTATTGAAATACCTCTTGGCCATCATATATCGCCCTCGACGCGTTATCACATTAAACAAAGCATTATAGGATTTAATGGTCCTTTCAACACCTAACTCTTCCATTTTCTGAAACAACTTGACACTCTCTTGAACAATCCCAGCTTTACCATAACTATCAATCATCAAAACCCATAAATCCTCATCCCAATCAACACCCTTATTAGGCATATCAAGAAGTATACACCTAGCATGATTAAGCTTCTCAGACCTACCAAGAATCTGAATAATCTTGAAATGGGTTTCTCTGTCATGCCTGAAAAGACCGGATCTTTCTACCCATCTAAAGAACTGTAACGCCTGTTCAGAGTTTTTTGCATTGTGTAACACATTGTAAACAAGTTCATGGTCAAATGAAGGAACAAGATTCCTAATGGAGTTCTGAAGGCGTGTAGTCCACACGCGAGTAGACATCATTCTGCAAATGAGATCTTCTACTTTTTCTGGGGTTTTAGGATTGTGAGTTGTCGGAATTCGGGTGCTCGGGTCCGGGTTGTTGAGGGATTCGGAGCTGTAGAAGAAGGATGTTGATCTTGGTGAAATAGTGGAGAGTTTTTTCGGTTTGAAACGACACAGAGAAGCCATTTTTGCTGATCTGCTGTTGTGCGATTGAAAAACGGCTCTAGGGTTCAGCCAGGTGAAGTCACTGGCTTATATATATAAAAAGCCAAAATCTGAACTAATATATATTTAAATTTTAGTATGTATTTAAAATTTGATAGAGCTAAGATTGAGTGAGTTAATAAATTTTTTCTCATATTAACTTTAAACAATATATTTACGTAATTTTATTTTTCTTCTTTTATGCATATACTTTTTTTTTATGTTTCTCGTTATTTTACCTTTAAAAGTTCAACTTAGATTCTCTCATTAGCTATGCATTTTTGTCTCATTTGATTGATCCATATATCAGAAAGCTAAGTTCTTTTGTTTCTCATCTTTTTTAACTAAGTAATCCCCTAGGCAAGTGTAAAAGGTTCAAAACTCAATGAATAATAAACTCACTCCTTTATCATTTTCACTTATTATCATATTTTTGTATAGAGTAGAGTTTAACCATGACGTGCATCTAACTCAAAAAACATGCATTGCACTCTCACTACTAGATTAAAGTCATGCAGTTTTTTTTGTCTCTCATTATTATATGAACTAGTGAACTTGTGTCGCTTCACGCGATTTTAAAGAACCTTTATATTTATGAAATGAATTGTTTCCAATATTTAAATGGTTAAAAGAATAAAATAATAAGTTGTGAAGAGCTATTTATGTGTGTCCTAGTTCTTTCTAGCATATTTGGTTAACAAAGGAAAGGAAAAACTTAAAGAAAAGAGAAATTCATTTATTTATTTGTCGTATAAGATGTTCATAATTTATTTTGTTGTTTGTTTGGTATATTGCGAAGAAAATAAAAGAGAAGGTTTCTTCATATGTATTTAACTTAGAAGTAATATAAAAGTTTGAAATTAGTAAATAAAGGAACTTCTCTTCTACTTTTCTTGTGTTTAGCTTCTTAATGAAAAATGGTCCTTTTTCCGGTGTTTCAATTTTCATCCTTCCTTTTTTTTCACCTCAACAAAAACGGTTCTAATTCGTATGATTATATGATATTCGACAGAAATTTGTTTTAAGCAAATTTAGATCCCAATGCATCTTTTACTTTTGAGATTTAACCGATGGGATTAGATTAATACTTTATTAGCACATTAATCAATAGTAATCAAGATTTGTTCGCCAAAGAATAATTGCTTGTTGTTGGCCAAGAAATCGAAGTGTTTTGAATCAAAAGAAAACATCTCAAAGAAAGAAAGTCTATTGTGATTGTGTAGAAACTAAATTATCCAAACACAAATTATTTTCAAAAGTTCTTAGAAATTTTTCCAACAAAACATTTTCAAAGGACCAGTCCAAACACTAATAGAACAATACTTATACGTGAAAATGGTGATTGAGGTGGTGAAACAGATAATAACATGTGTTTTCAAATAGTTCATCCTCCTTGTTCTTAAAAAATTCTTCGAGAGAACATTTTCAAAAAGTTCTCCAACACTAACAGAACAACACGTGTCCAAACGGTGATTGAGACAACAAAATAAATATTATCATGTGTTTGTTCTAAATAGTTATTACTTGCTCCTTGTTCTAATTAATATATTTTTTCGGTTCTCATTTTTTCCCTTTTTTTCTTCCTCTATCTTTTCATTTTGATATCTTTTCTTCTCACCTCTTAGTACCCGTCACGTTATTCAGGAAAAAACTATAATCACTTCTCTAAATACAGGCAAAAACCCTTTTCCTTCAAAACTAAAATAACATCCTAAAAGTATTCCTTTGTTCCATAAGATCATCTCCGCCAATTAAAATATTTTATAATTTCTGTCATATAAGACCCCCAAAAGCAAAAAGGTAAAAAACGAAGAGACAATTATGTTTGAAGTTCACTTGGGCGAGAAAAGAGTAAATTAATGGTAAATTTTAAGTGAAATTTTCTTGTTCAACTTATCCATTGATGTCTTGTTTTCAAGATGTAATTTTTTAAACTTCTTGTCCCCTTAGTTTATAAATCATTACTGAAGATTCTAGCACAATGAGACCATTCAAGAACATCTTATAAAAATTGATCATCACTAAAGTGATGTTAAGAATGTAAAATATTTTTTGTCCAAGGACAAAGCATCCAAATCAAGCGGGAGTTTGTGATAGTAATTGTATTACTGCACACTTGGCAATTTATAAAAAAACCACAAGTTTGACAATTAATAAAAAATCACAAGTATAGTTTGCGATCATTTAACTCATTAATGCCTCACGATCAACCAAATATATCATGTTGCTATATGTTTAGGCCATGGCCAAAGAAAATCACATGGTCCAATTGAGAGCTACCATATAAAGCATTGCAAATTTTTTTGTATTGCTCGAAATATCTCCTACTTTGAATTTTTCAAAGACCTTCTTATCCTATACAAAAAGAGAATAAGGAATTATACATTTTTTAAACAAAAAAATATTAATTATAAAAAATCTCATAGCAAGAATATAAAAATTAGCATGAAGTGAGGGAGGAGTATCCTTTAGTTTTCCATGACCATGGTAAGCAAACCATTTTCTTTGTTCGCTTCACATGTTTTAATTTGTACACTAAGAAAAACAAACGAAAGTTGAAAATAATCATCATGGGAGCACATCTATAATACATACTTTATATATGTTAAAAGATAGTGTATATGTGAATGCAATTATACTTATCATCAACAGGTCGGAATGAGGCCGGGGAAAGAAGAGGACGAGTGGTGGAACGACGAGACGATTATGGAGCTAGGGTTGAAGCCGCCGGATGATCTCCGTTGCAAAAGGTCAGACAGCAAGAAATGGAGGTGCAACGGCTACAGGATCCAAGGTAAACCCCAGAAGCATTTTCTTAAACCACTTATAGAACATTTACTCCGTGAGAAAAGGGTTTCAGTGGTCAAGAGGGTGAGAAGGAGAGAAGAAGAGGAGTCGTCATCCGTAGTGAAACCGCAGAAGAAACTGCGGGCAAGACGCAATCTAATAAGGGATAGCGATATACGAGTGATTCTGGTGAGAGTGAAACGCATGATTTAAGTGAAGAACCAGAGGATGTAAAGCCTGTGAAGAAATCTTCTTTACGTGAGACGAAAATAGGGAGAAATGGAGAAGGTTACGAGGAGAATGACGTACCAAAGGATGTAAAGCCTGCGAAGAAATCTCCTTTACGTGAGACGAAAATAGGGAGAAATGGAGAAGGTTACGAGGAGAATGACGTACCAAAGGATGTAAAGCCTGCGAAGAAATCTCCTTTACGTGAGACGAAAATAGGGAGAAATGGAGAAGGTTACGAGGAGAATGAGGTTGTTACATCGTTGAGGATGATGAAAGATAGTAGTGTGAAAGTTGAAAATAAAGATAGTTCAGATGATCAGATAAAAATAGGGGGTAAGGGTGAAAATCAAATACAAGAATTAACATAAATGTAAGTGAAAGAGAAAGAGATAGAAATCTATCTATATCTATANTTATCTTTTATCTCCTTTTTTTGCTTTTTCCCTCTTATTTTTCTTGTCTTCTATTTTTATGTGCCTTATTTGATAACATTAAATGACTCAATAACCACTGCTTCACTCTAAATTCTCTTTATTGCACATTTATCTCTTCCTCTTCTTTTCCCCACCTCTTCAGTTTCTTCCTAAAAATTATAACATTTGAAGGTAGTAAGAACTCAACAAAATGCTAGAGACTTTACACACAAGGTTCAGTCAGCTTCCCAACAAGCTTAGTAAAATCATCATGTTCCATCAGGTAATTCTAAATTTCATATTTTCGCCACCTTTTATTGAAGAATTTTTAACAAATTTTTTACATGCATCAAATTGGTATTGCCACTACGGAAAATCCTGCAACTGCAGGTGTTATTATACCAAACAAAACTTTCAAACTGTGAATGCTCTCGGAATAGTTCCAGGTATCTTTCTTGAAAATTTTATATACATAAGATAGGGAAAATGCATAAGTACCCCCCTGACCTATACCCGGATTTTCAACTACACACTTTTTCTTTGCGGGAATCCTATTACCCCCTAAACTTATTTTAAATGGAATTATTTGCACCCTTAATGTTGACAACCAAACTCTTGGCAAGTGGTGAGCTACACGCGCCCCCACATGTATTTTTAGTACTTTTTTATTCTTTTTTCCTTTTCTTATGCTTTTTTCTTATTTCTTATTATTTTCATTTTTTTTGGTTATTTCATTCTCTTTCTTTTTGTTTTGGTCGCCAGCGGCATAAAATGGTGGTCGTCGAAATTTCGCAAACACCATTTTTTTCGGCGAATTTTTTTTTTCCGGCGATAAATTTTTATCTCGATCTAAGTGTTTTGTTTTATATATATATAAATTTTTCTTGAAAGTGTAATTTATGTATGGGAGGAAGAGC